AAGCTTACTTACTGCTACCTGCCTCAGTCCTTTCCCTAAAGAAAGGCAAATCCTAGAGAACCAGAACCAGGCATTGCAAGGAGTGACAATAGGAATTCTCCCACCCTTACTGTTGCAGAATGATTCTAAGCGGTTTGTGAATAATTCTGTGCATATAAAAAGAATAAATGGGTTGTACTTATATGCACTATTATTTTCAAATATGTGTAGTGTAGGTACTATTGTGATTCATAAAATATAAATTTATTTTTTAAATGAGTGCCTAATAAGTTATTTTGACCCAGTGATATCTTTGGGAAGAAAATAACCTCTGGAGTCTAGGTGGAAGATAAGGATTTGGGCGCTCTGCTTCAGCTTACTAGTCCTAAAGATAAACACCCTCAGGCTTGGAGCACTAACTTTGTGCCTCACTAGCAATAGCCTGTCAGCACAAGTACCTGTTTTCTCCAGTGTAACCAATGGCACAACATTCAGCGCACAACACGCAGTTTAGCCAGAGTGCCAGGGTAATCGCAAACAGGAGAGAAGGCAGAAGTCACTGGGCTTTGATATCCACAAAGAAAAGACTGGTTGCTGGAGAATATTCCAGAAACCCCTAGGATTCAGGGCTAGGAGACCATGAAGAGGTTTTCCTAGGACTCAGCTGGCATTTGGAAGCGCAGGGAGACCCACAAGACTGGGAAGCTATAAAATTCTTAGAATCTTGCCCCTGCCAATGGCTTGTTGTAGTGAGTCCAGCATGCTGGTTCAGCTGCATGTGACTTCACTCAAATGCTGCCTTGGGGACGCGCAGCAGCCAAAGGCATGTGTACCTTAAGGGGGAGGTGTGTGTTGCAGCTGTCTGTGAAGGGTGCCTCAGCAGACCTTTGAGTTGATTGTACCTTTGTGTTTCTGCCAGGAATTTAAACTTTATGGATTCTGCTACAAGGAGAAGCCCTCACTGTTCCTCCTTCTCTCCAATTCCTCTCACCCCACCCCCAGCCTTAGAGCAACAACTTCTCTTTGTTGGTCTTCACAAGAACCCCATAGCTCAAAGCCATGAGTCTACCACTGGCAAATGGTAAATGGGGACCTGAGGGAACTAGGACTTTGTGGTAGGGAACCAGGGGATTCACCAGATGCTGAGAAATAAAAAGATCCTTTTTTATAGATCCAGGGAATATATAATGGGCTATGTCCTTGTTTCATAACTACTGCAGGAGAAAACCCATGCTTCTTTTTTCATCCTGTAAAGTAGGAGAACTCTGAAGTTGGATCTACTGAATTTAGGGTTCTTACCAGTTAAAGAGCTTTACAAGTAAGGGCATCTGAGCTGCCAGCTCATGAGAGTGAGTTGTTGTTATGGAAGGCAGTATTCGTATTAGAAGTCGATCCATCATAGAAGTACTTTTTCCCTGGTGGTGCCTGTGGCTTAGTGAGTAGGGCGCTGGCCCCATATACCCACGGTGGCAGGTTCAAACCCAGCCTCGGCCAAACTGCAACAAAAAAATAGCCAGACATTATGGCAAGCACTTGTAGTCCCAGCTACTTGGGAGGCTGAGGCAAGAGAATCACCTGAGCCCAAGAGCTGAAGGTTGCTGTGAACTGTGATGCTACAGCACTCTACTGAGGGTGACAAAGTGAGACTCTGTCTCTTAAAAAAAAAAAAAGAAAAGAAATACTTTTTCCCTATAGCCATCTCCATCCCAGACCCTTGCTAATATGCTTGTTGTATATATAGAAGTGAACATCTTTAGCCATTAAAACTCATACCAGCTGAACACAGTGTAGTAGCCAGCTTGCCGCAAAATTATAATATGCCACCAGCTCTTACCATTCCATTTTGGTTACTCTAAAGAGTGATAATGTAGGACATGTTGTGTGGGGTAGAGTTGAATATACAGTATTTCTTCTGCTGCTAGAGAACACTGTGTATTAGTTTAAACTTTTCTGATACTCTGGGGCATCAGTAAAGAAGGGGTTGACAGGCCCTGCCCAAGGGCACAGTTGCTAACGGGGTCTCTGACAGACCTGGTTTGTGGTCCACCACCCGGAAGTCCCAGTGTGATTCACAGTAAGTCTCTGTCCTGAGAGTAGCCCTTTCTGGTGGGCGACCGAAGAGAGGGGGAATGGGGCCCACTGCTTCAGGATTCTGTTGTGAGAGGGAATATGAGGCCAGCAGAAGAGGAAGAGGAGCAGCCCACATTTTGCCTCTTTCTGTAGGTGAGCTGTCCACTCCTTCAGCTTCTACAAGGGTAGGCTTCTTAAGCTATTTGCTGAGAGATTTAGTACCCTCCCTCAGTTCTCCTCGGATAATACAGGGTAAGCCAGCAGAAGGGGAAGAGGTGACGTGTAAACCTTCCGTAAAGATCTTAAAAACATGCCTGTTCGGGCGGTGCCTGTGGCTCAGTGAGTAGGATGCCAGCCCCATATACTGAGGGTGGCAGGTTCGAACCTGGCCCCAGCCAAACTGCAACAAAAAATAGCTGGGCATTGTGGCGGGCGCCTGTAGTCCCAGCTACTCGGGAGGCTGAAGCAAGAGAATCGTCTAAGCCCAAGAGCTGAAAGTTGCTGTGAGCCATGGAAGTGAGACTCTTAAAAAAAAAATATGCCTGTTCTTGGATTAGGGCCAGGCCCTTCTGTGATTACCCATGATCTTGGGCTTTGGCACACATGAGATCTTACCAGACAACCTCAATTTGGATGTAAAATTAGACATGAACCCAATAGAGATGATCATCTGCGCTGAGCTGCAGAGCCCACTGAAGACAGGCCCACAGGTAAATGCTTTGTAGGGCTCCAGATGTTTTGATAGTTTCTTGCAAATCATTCTCCACCCACTTCATCCCAGGCAGGTCTCTGAAGTGAAAGGTTATGAGTTATGAACAGCTGAGTTTCTCACCATTTTGTGAAACTTTTTAGCCAAACTTTTACCTTCTATTCATTCAAATTTACTCAGCAAATAACTATCGAGTACCTACTTGCCATATATCAAGCCCTGTGCTAAGTTCCGGGGGAAGGTTGTTGCCTTCATGAAAATTACAGTTTAGAAAGGAAGCAGACAATAAATAAACAAATCAACAAGATGATTACAGATTGTCATAAGTGCCATCAATTACATAAACAAAATAATGAGATGGAAAACAAGTGGAAGGGGTGTGCGTAGTGGCTGACACCTCTAATCCTAGCACTCTGGGAGGCCGAGGCAGGAGGATCACCTGATCTTAGGAGTTCAACACCAGCCTGAGAAAGAACAAGACCTGTCTCTACTAAAAATAGAAAAAAAAAAAATAATAACCAGGGTTGTGATGGGCGCCTATAGTTCCAGCTACTTGGGAGGCTGAGACAAGAGGATTACTCAAGCCCAGGAGTTTGAGGTTGCTGTGAGCTACAATACCATGGCACTCTACCCAGGGTAACAGAGTGAGACTCTGTCTCAAAAATAAATGAATGAATGAATGAAAGCATATAAAGGAAGGTTGTTAAAGGGAGCATTTGAGCTATGCCCAGAAAAATAGGAGGAATAGCTGAGAAGGGTTGCAGGAAGAGCATTCCAAACATAGGTAATACAAAGACACAGAAAGAAAAACCTTGATGCATTTAGGAACAGAAAGGCCTAGCCTGGAATGTAACAAGGAGAATGATTTGGATAAGTTCAGGAGCTGGGCTTTGTAGAGCCTTCAAGTCTGTGATGTGAGTTTGGATTTTATTCTGAGAGGACTGATGGTGTTAAGTACAAGTGAGTAACGTAATTAAAGATCATTGTGTGTTCACTGCCACGTTGTTTGTAATAGCAGATTAGAAACTAATTCCACCAATATGGAACTGGGTAAATAACTTTGGGTTCATTACAGTGGTATGCAGTTAAAAACTCTGAGGATACCTATAGGTACTGCAAGAAGGATTTGCAAGACATCCTAAGTAGGAGGAGAAAACACAGATTGTAAAAAATGTTAAAAATATATTTTAAAAAGAGATATAGAGCCAAGCATGGTGGCTCACACTTATAATCCTAGCACTTTGGGAGGCTAAGGCAGAAGCATCGCTTGAGACCAGGAGTTTAACAAGCAATAGCAAGATACTGCCTCTACCAAAAAAAAAAAAGCTAGGCAAAATGGTGCATGTCTGTAATCCAAAAATTTTAGGTTGCAGTGAACTTTGATGATGCAAAACCACTATACACTCCAGCCTGGGCAACAGAACAAGACCCTGTCTCAAGCAGTTAATCCAGTGGTTCTCAACCTTCCTAACTGCCGCATTGTTTCAAATGGAACAAAGGAGGCATGACCCACAGGTTGAGAACCGCTGAATTAATCAGTCAATCAATAAAAAGGAGTCGCATGTATAAGTGTGTTTGCCCATGTATCACATAAAGGATATCCAAGAAGCTGATGATGTGTTGCTTCTGGGGAGAGGAACTGGGGTACAAAGTGCCTAGAACAGAAGGAAGACTTACTCCTGATAATATATCCTTTCAAAGCTTGGAATATCTTACTATACACTTGTATGACTTACTGAGCAAATATTAAGTTGTGCTCACTCTGGTCGCTGTGTGGAGAATGACTGAGGGGTCAAGAGCAGGAGCAGAGAGTCAATCAGAAGGCTCTGACAGTAGTCTGGGTGAGGGATGGTAGTAGCTTGACCTGTGGGGTTGGTGATAGGGATGGAGAGAAATAGATGGAGTCCAGATTTACTGTAGAGGCAAAGCCAGCTGCACTTGGTATAATGAATGCCGAATTCCACACTGACATTGCCTACTTCCACTAGTTTAAGAAAGCTTTGTGCATTAGAGACTAGAACTGGGTTTACATGACTTCTCTGATGTCTTTGTGGTGAGAAGAGTTCCTGGGCTCCTTCCAGGATTCTGGAGAATATCTAAGGTATCATAATATGGAGAACATAGTACCGGATGTGTGCTCCTTCTCCATATGAACACATGCAACAGTTAGAAACAATTTGTAACGACTGTAAAAACACTAGAGAAGTCCATTCATTTCTAATAGAGCTTGCTTTCTTTACAGAGAGATGCCAAAGGCCAGTACCTGTTTGACCTTCTTTGCCACCACCTGAACCTACTTGAGAAAGACTATTTTGGGATCCGCTTTGTAGACCCAGATAAGCAGCGGGTAAGTCAGTATTCAAAGCACAAAGGGAAGACAGGACTAGTCAGTAAACCTGAGGGCTTGAACTGTCACTCGTATTCAGATTTAAGCCCCAGGAGGCAGGGACCAGCCAGGCCCTGCAGTTGGATGTCAGCTCTTCAGATCATATCATTACACCTGGAAGGGACCTTCACTGGAGCTCACCTAGAGAAGTTTGTCTTTTTACAGATACTGAAATGGCAGAGTAGAGAGCTTAAGTGATTTGCACAGAGTTGCCCAGTTGGAGGCAGAGCAGCCAGGCTAAGGTTGAGGTCTCAAAGCCCAGATCATGGGATGAGGCTCTCCTTCCCCCCTTCTCATAAGTGGGCTGAGCTGCATTGTTCTGGTTAGGAAGGGCCTCGCCCAAGGCACTAACCCAATCTAGGCAGGACAGAGACAAACTGACACAGGCCTTTGCAAATCCTACAATCCTTGCTTGCTCCTTACAGCACAGCCAGCTCTCGAGACATGGCATTGACAAGGATTACAGCCCCCTAGACAGATACAGGAATAAATCCGTTATCTCAGACCCCTGACTCCCTCTCTGGCTGATCTGTCTTCTCCTGGCACATTGTGACTTCTTTCTTTGTGGAGCCTTTACCCACCCAGTTCCCCTGCCTGGAACACTCTTCTCTTTTTCCTCTCTTCTCCATACTCCATGCTTTTCTTCTGACTGAGTCTTAGCTTAAACTTTTACTTCTTCTAGAAGTTCTTCTAGGAGTTGCCCCTAGCCCCCATTCTAAACCAGCGACCCTCCTATGGCCCCCGTGTGTCCTCTGTATCTGTCATAGCATGCATCACACCATGCTGTGTTTACCTCTTTGATTACCTGTGTTCCCTGCAAAAAAATACAAGTTTCGTGAGGATATGGACTTCATCTACTTCATCTCATTCATCACTATCTCCCATGTAACTAGCATTGGGCCTAGCTCAATAAATATTTGCTGAAGGAATGAATGGGCGATTTAATGGATGAGTTAACTCCTGCTTGTCTGGGTTTTGCTGTTTGTGGAAATGTACTCTCTGGCATCCTTATTGATGTGGGAAAATCATGATGGACTATTTTTATAAATGGTGTTTGTTTATTTGGTCTGAGCTTTCTCTCCTTAAAAAGATAGGTCAGTTATCCCAAGATTCTTCATCTCCCAGAAGGGGTGGTATATGAAGAAAAAAGGGCAAAATGTATCCTATTCAGTATTTTTTTAGTTAGGCCAGAATGTGCTTGAGAAGAATAAGAGAGTCTGTGGAGGTGATAAAGATTAAAGGCAGCAGGAGCTAGAGCGAGATAAGAGCATGGGAAAGAGAAGAAACACACTTGTGGAGTGCCTGCCGTGTGCCAGGCTCTGCACAGAACACAACCCTAGTTCTTGCAGCTGATGTGTATTGCTCCCTGAGTTGTGTCAGGTACCAAGCTAAGAGCTTCACATGTGTTACTTCATTTTTTCCTTAACGCAAATGAGATGAGGATCCATAATTATAATATCTGTTCTCCAGATGAAGAAATAAACTCTCAGATAGGGTAAGTTGCCCAAGGTAAGTGGCAAAGCCAATCTTGAGCTCAGACCTATCTGACCCCAGGGCCTATATGATTTCTAAGATTCCATGCTGAATTGGTATCTGATAGCCAATGAAGTTGTGTGATTCTGTGCCTCAGAATCCCAGAGGCTAAAGAGAACAGTGAGGCTTCAGGGAGTACCTGGGGTTTGGGGAAAGTGGACTTGTAAGAGTTGTAGTCTTAGATCCACTGATCATGGTAGGGAGGAGGTGAGCTCCTTGGCCTCATCAGGGTGTAAGGCTCTAAAATAAACCTCCTTCCCCATCCCCCGGTGTGAATCCAGTGCTCACCCGCATCCCCACATCACTGCTCACTCTGGGAGCTCTCCTGGTGTCTCCTGGTCCTCCACTCCCCTGCCCCATTGTGCTTGTCTCAGGCCCAGAGCCGCCTGCTTTCAGCCTTACCTTTGTACTATTTCAAGTCCCCGGACTCCGAAGATTGTGCTCCATTGGTCCATTCACCCAAATATAGGAGGAAAGCCTCCTCTCTGAATCTTCTTTTCCTTTTCTCCTTATCCCTTCTCCCCAAACCCATGTCACCAGTTTGCTAATGATTCTGAGATGCAGATTTAGCCAGGAAGCTGCAAAAGGCAACTCTGGTCATTGCCCTATTCTTGGGATTTTCTCAAGATTTCTCTACCAGACCCTTAAAATCCCATGGACAAGTTGTAACAGCTTTCCACTCCCTTCCCAGCCCCTTGCTAATCTCCTCCAGCCTCAGTCTTTCCTTGAGCTCTCAGTGCAGTACACACAGAAGTCTTCTCTCTGCCATTGCCCAGGGGAATAGCCTTTTTGTCATTCAGCTCCATCTGCCTGTGCCGATAAAACATCTCACAGTCCTTCTTCTTAATTTCTATCTTCCTTTGTTAATTTCTTTCACTCTATTGGTCTGATATCTAGGGGTGTTCTGTTTACTGAGTCCCTGACACTTGCAGTGTTCCCCTCGCTACACACAATTCCAGTGTGCTCCAAACAGATAGGCCTCCTCTGCCTTCACAGGCACAGCCTGGAACCCCAGCTGTTTCTGTGCAATTTTATCTCTTGCCTTTGCTTCCCCATGAAGCCGAGCCACAGTGGGCCGTGTAATGTGAGAAGGACCTCTTAACCACACTGAGTGGCTATAATGAGTTGCCAGCCTCATGGGAACTCAGATCAGAGGAAGCAAAAGAGCAGAATGTCAGCCCGGATTATCCATGTGGAGCTGATGGAAGAACTGGCTCTTAGTGGGCCCATTAACTGTATGACCCACAGCCCAGCCCAGAAGGTGATAGCTGGGAATCAAGGGAGGCCAGGATGCTGTCTTCATGGCCCTGGCTGCTTTTCCACCAGAGGGAGGACTCTGCCAAGACATTCCACTAAATGGAAGTAGCCAGAAAAGAGAAAAGTGTAGACCTAGTCCCTTTTTCCATTCAATAGCTACATAATAGCTATTGGTATTATTTAGCTGTAGTAAATAATACAGTCTTCTTCTTACATCTGGCAGCTTTAAGCTACTTCCAGATCATCAAACTCCAAATAGTATCAGTCTTAGCAAATCCTGATTAGCATAAAAGCGATAAACATCAATAATAAATTTTACAACAGATCCACGTAGAATTGAGAAACATACAGAAAATGGTTTCATTGCTTCTTTCCCCCAAACATACGTACCATGGGAAAAAAATAATATTGCTACTATGCAATGCCCGGCCTTTTTGAAAAGCCATGTAACAAAACATTTGTACTCTCTTAATATTCAAAATAAAAAAAAGAAAAAGAAAATCCAAGGGAAAAATGATACTAACCAACACATTGGTTGTAGTTACTTATCTTGTAAGACTTTCAACATCCCTGGATGCCAAGGCATCCTGAGTATGCATTCTCAACACAAGAGTTGGCAATCTGTGTTGCTCAAAGAAAGATGGAATATACACACCAGCCATCCCTGCCCTATGAAATTTCCACTTGTCAATACTTTCTAGAGTAACAACTCTATCCCTATTCCCCTCCCCCCAAAGTTGGTACCTAACACAAATACACACCACCTATAAATCAGTGTCCCTACTTGAGCGAGGTGAGACTTTGTCCCCGCCACACATCCAGGCCGTCATGTGTGCCTGTTAGCACGCCGGAATGATGGCTTGGAACTCTGGCACCCTGCCTTGGAAGACAGCACATTCAGGGAAGCCCAGAAATGGCATCTAAAGCTGGAACTATTCCCTCTTTCACAGTTGGTTCCATGGGGAGCTTATTTCAGAAAATCATCAAACCTGTACTTCACAAGCTTTGGGGTGCCTTTCAGTGTAGGTTATAACCTGTTTAGTTATTTAAATTGGATAAAACAAATTATATTTGACAATGTTTCTCATTAGGGTTTTCTTGTTCTGTGTTCTCTGTTTTAGCATTGGTTGGAGTTTACAAAGTCTGTGGTAAAGCAATTGCGATGTAAGTATTCTGTATGAAAAGACCGAAGCCTCACCCCTGGGGAGGGTAGGATGAAACATCCCCCATGTAGTAAGCTTTGTTCTACATATGTAATTTTTCGTTATTCTGAGGATAAGTTGGCCCTAAACATGTGGGGATTTTCTTCTAATTGTTCAATGGACTCTGCATGCTGGGAGGGAGATGAACCCTTCTGGAGGAGGGGCTTCCTTGATAAGCACCTCTTTTTCTTTGCAGCCCAGCCTCCATTCACCATGTGTTTCCGTGTGAAGTTTTACCCTGCAGACCCTGCTGCTCTGAAAGAAGAAATAACCAGGTGAGGGTGAACACATTCCCCCAGCCACTAAGACCTGTAGGAGAGGATAGGAGAGGGAGCCTGTGACCTCTTAGATCCTCTAAATGGGAAGCTCCTTTTATAGGCAAGGAACTCTTCCTAAATAGGACCTACTTCTTCTGTATTTCATTTTCACATGCTTACTCTGCTCGGTGGAAATGGAACAGAGTAAACGTCTTTCCTTCAAGAAATATGAATAATTTATCTTTAACTGGTCATTTTCAAGGGGATCTGGAGTAACTAATCAAAAGCATTTTTTCTTCTACCTATGATGTGTGGCCACTGTGGACATTCTTAGAGAGGGCTCTGTTGCTGCTTATTTGAGGGATTGAAAATAGATTCAGATGACCTAATGCATGTACTTGGGGGGTGCCGACGTGTGATATTGAAAGACCAGCTGGGAAATACTGAAGATTTTAAATCCAAGTGGATAAATTCTAGTGTGCTATTGGGTCAGGTTCGTGATAAACTCTTTATTGTGGGGATCATGTTCTATGGCAGGCGGACAGCTGTGTGGAATGAATCCTATTTTGTCCAACACCACTTGAGGATGAAAAAGAACCTCTGTGTCTGTGAACATCCTACAAAAGGGGCAATAAATATGAGCTTCAAAGCTCCCTCAAGTTTTTATATATCTGAGCTAAATTTACTATGAAACTCTTGCCTCATAAATTCAGAAACTCTCTATATAGGGATCTGTAATTTTTATGTTAGAAAGCTAATTTTGACATAAACAAAATCTCGATGTTACCTTGGAGAAGGCAGGACTATGGGTAAAGAGGTGATGCCAGGGAATCCTAGAGCTGAGGAAGACACAGCATGCCAGCTCAGATCTCCTCCCTAAATCCCTGAAGACAGCAAAGATGGGATTGAGAACGTTGCCAGTCCCACAGACTGCATGTCCTGTAGGGTTTCAGATCTATTGCTAGTCCTGAACTGCTTAGGAAAATCCCAAAGAAAAGACGAGAGGAGGGAAGAAAGAATATGGAATTATTTTCCTTTCCTATTCTAAAGAACATTCCAAGGAAGAGCAATAAGAGGGGAAATCAAGAAATGGGAAAAGATAAGATCAGGAAACAGGAATAGTAGTGCAAAGGAAGGGAGCAGGACAGGGAGGGGAATGGCTTCTTCACATGGCCCTGCTAGGGGAGAGAAAGCTGTCCCAGGTAGTTGTGCAAGTCCTAGTAAGTACAGCATTAGGACTGTAGCCAGGCCTCTCACCGAGCTGGCAGACTTCAAGGACACTGGCAAGTGTATGAGCTCCTCTCCCATCTGTGTGCTTTTGTGTTAAGCATCTTGGAGAACTCTCCCCCTCTCTTCACCTCTCTGATCTTCTTTCCCTAGTATGCAGTTTTCCAGCATTGTCAGGAGTATGAACTGCGGGTGCCTGGGCCTGATTTGTAGTCTTTGTGCCTCCTCCTCCCTGGAGACAATCTGTGAGGCTGTGGAATTAGCTACATTTTTCTCTTCATTCACATCCCTACTGATCTTAAGAGAGTGGGTACCTGCCCCAGCCTCACTCAATACCCATAATTCATCCCTGGCTTAGAGCCCTCCATCCCACCTTGCTGCCAAACTAATTTAGCTGTCAGTGTGTATTTTCCTGGCAATATTGGTCCTCAATTTCATTGCCATCTCAGCCATTCCCATAAAGCCAGCCTGGGAGAAAGGGATGAAGCAGGGAGTAAAGAGCTATGCTTCAATTTATCTCTTGGATTCTTCTCAGCTGATAAATTTAGTTGCCAAATCCTGATTAATTTCTTTTGTCATTTTTGTAAAGTAATAAATAGATTTTCTTGTCTAGGCCAGAGACAAGGCAGGGAAAATGGAGAATTAGGTACCTGATTTAGCTTATAACAAGAACTGTAGGTATATGAATTCTTTGGAAAGAAAAAGTAATAGAAGGAAGCTGAGTACACATGGGCCCCCATTGTCCAAGGAAGCAAAAGGTCTGACACACAAAAGGTGCTCAGAAAAATGTTAATAGAATGAATGGAGTTATCTGTTCATTTATTCCTTCAATGAACATCATCTGAGCCTAACTTAGGCTAAGATGGATTGGCAAACTTTTTCTGTAAAAGGCCAAATAGTAAGTATTTAAGGCTTTGGGGGCCATATGGTCTCTGTTGCAGCCACTCAGTTCTGTCACTGTGGTGTGAAAGCAGCCATAGACGATACATAAATGAACAAGCAAGGCTATGTTCCAATAAAATTTTATTTCATTGCACACTGTGGCAGCAGGCCATGGTTTGCCAACTCCTAGGCTAAGAAATCAGAAAGATGAGGCCCAGCACTATGGCTCACACGTATAATCCTAGTGCTCTGGGAGGCCAAGGCTGAGCAATTGCCTGAGCTTACATACAGCTCTGGGACCAGCCTGAGCCAGAGTGAGATCTTGTCTCTAAAAATAGCTGGGTGTTCTGGTGGGTGCCTATAATCCTAGTTACTTGGGAGACTGAGGCAAGAGAATCACTTAAGCCCAAGAGATAAAGGTTGCTGTGAGCTGTGATGCCACATCACTCTACTGACGAGTGACAACTTGAGACTCTGTTTCCAAAAAAAAAAAAAAAGAAATCAGAAAGATATGGGTTCAAATCCCAAGCCATTCTTTAGCTATGTGATAAGTAACAATACCTCTAAGCAACCATCCAGTTTCCTCACCTGTTAAGTAGAGATAAAAATGGTGGTCACCTTGTAGAGCTGTTGTAAAGGTTAAATGAGAGAGTGCATATGAAACACTACAGTTTGGGCCACACAGCATGCACTCAGTAAATATGAGTCTTTATTATTATTTTGTCTTCTGTCTTCCCCAACAAAACACTGGGGGGACTAGGTTCCCTAAGAGTAGGAACTTTGTTTTCTGCTGTATTCCCAGCATCTATGACAATGCCTGGCCTCACAGTGGGTGTCAGAACTAGATGGATGGATAAACCAGGCACAGATTGTACAGGCTCTCTAGAAAAATATTAAAAGTAAATGCAACATAGTCTCTTACTCCAAGTAACTTATAGGCTAGTGTGGGGAAGACATACTAAACAAAATTATAGTCAGGAAGAACAGTAGGAAAAAGAGGGAGCCAGTGGCAAAGAAGCTATTGAAGGGAAGGTGGGGCCAAGGATCTTCTGGAAGAAACTCTTTAGGAGCCTCTAGTGTTTTACAGAGTTCAGAACTTGTCCTACTCAAACCGTTCCCAAAACTTGAGGAGCAGGGAGTACTTTTAAACTTATTACAAGGCAAGTACTACTGTATACCAAAACCAGACAAAGACACAACAAAAAAGGAAAATGCAGGCCAGTATCTCAGATGAACATAGATTCATAAGTCCTTGACAAAATACTAGCAAACCGAATTCAACAACACAGTAAAAGTATCATTCATCATGATCATTCATGGGATCCCTAGAAATTCATTCTAGGGATGCAAAGATGGTTAACATATGCAAATCAATAAATATGATACATCATATCAATAGAAGAAAGGATAATAACTCTATGATCATTTCAATTGCTATCTAAAAAGCATTTTATTAAATTCAACATCCCTTCATGATAAAAAAAAACTTTCAAAAAAAGTGGGTTTGAAAGGAACATACCTCAAAACAATAAAAGCCATATATAACAAACCAGAACTAGTATCATAGTGAATGGGAGGAAACTGAAAGCCTGTCCTCTAAGATCTGGAACAAAACAAGAATGCTCATTTTCACCTCTGTTATTAAGCATAGTACTGGAAATCGTAACTAGAACAATTAGATAAGAGAAAGAAATTAAGAGCATCCATCCAGGCGTGATGGCTCACGCCTATAATCCTAGCACTCTGGGAGGCTAAGGCGGGTAGGTTGCTTGAGCTCAGAAGTTTGAGACAGCCTGAGCAAGAGCAAGACCCTGTCTCTACTAAAAATAGAAAAACTAGCTGAGTGTTATGGCTACCTGTAGTCCCAGCTACTTGGAAAGCTAAAGCAAGAGGATCACTTGAGCCTAAAAGTTTGCTGTGAACTATGATGCCACAGCACTCTACCCAGGGTGACAAAGTGAGACACTGTCTCAAACAAACAAACAAACAAACAAAAAGCAACAAAGAAATAAAGGGCATCCAAATTGGGATGAAGTAAAATTATCCTGGTTTGTAGGTGATATAATCTTATATTTAGAAAAACCTCAAGGACTGGCCATGGTGGCTCACACCTGTAATCCTAGGCACTCTGGGAATCTGAGGCAGGAGGATCACTTGAGCTCAGGAGTTCAAGACCAGCCTGAGCCAAATGAGACCTCATCTCTACTGAAAATAGAAAAATTAGCTAAGTGTTGTGGTACACACCTATACTCCCAGCTACTCAGGAGGCTGAGTCAAGAGAATCACTTGAATCCAGGAGTTTGAGGTTGCTGTGATGTAAGCTGAGGCCATGGTAGTCTAGCCTAGGTGACAGGCCTGGGTGACTCTGTCTCAAAAAAAAAGAAAACCTTAAAGACTCCTTAAAAAAACCTGTTAGAGATGACAAATTCAGTAAAGTTAAAGGATACAAGATCAACATATAAAAATCAGCAGCATTGCCATATGCCAATAGTGAGTAACCTGAAAATGAAACCAAAAAACCAAAAACTAGTCTTATTTACAATAGCCCCAAATAAAGCAAAATACCTAGGAATAAGCTTAACCAAAGAAGTGAAAGCTCTCTATAATAAAAACTGTAAAACATTGATGAAAGAAATTGAAGATAACGCAAAAAAATTTAAAGGTATTTAAATTATAAAATTAAAGGTATTTAAAAAAATTTAAAGGTATTTAAAAATTTAAAGGTATTAAAATGTCCGTACTACCCGGAGCAGTCTATAGATATAATGCAGATTATATAGATATAATGTCAAGATACTAATGATACAGTCTAGACTGTAGCCTGGACAACAGAGCAAGACCTTGTCTCAAAAAAAAAAAAGCGGGGGCAGCAAAAGATCTGAATAGACATTTCTCAAAAGAAAACATAC